AGTGCCACCTTGAGGGTGCGTTAAGCCTGATACTATCCCTGAGACTGGAACCCACCCAAACTGTCCTGCAGGCAGCTTTTGGCTGGCAGGGGCAGGACAGAGCTGGGAATTTACCCCAACTCCCAGCCATCTCTCACAGTTTGCACCCATGATAGGAGATTTAGGTGCTAATGTCCTGGAGAAGGCCGAGGCCTCAGCCCCCGCCTTGCGGCAGGGACTGTGGCCGAGACCCTGGCGGGGTTCCGTCCAGGAAGGGCACACCCGACAAGTGCCACCTTGAGGCGGGGTTTTTCTTGCCCCTTGCCCTGAGACTGCAGCCCAGCAGACCTGGACTGCTGGCAGCTTTTGGCTGTCAAGGGCAGGACAGAGCTAGGAAATTACCCCAGCTCCCAGCCATCTCTCACGGTTTGCAACCATGAGAGGGGCTTTAGGTGCTACTGGCCATAAGAAGGCCGAGGCCTCAGCTCACGCCTTGCGACAGGGACTGTGGCCGAGACCCCAGCAGTGTTCCGTCCAGGTCGGGGGCCCCCGAAAAGGGCCACCTTGATGGGGGTTCTTCCTTCCCCTTATCCTGAGACTGGGAACCACCGGAACTGTCCTGCTGACAGCTTTTGGCTGGTAGGGGAAGGACATAGCTAGGAATTTACCCCAGCCCCCAGCCATTTCTCACGAGTACTCACCCATGAGAGTGTCTTTAGGTGTTCCTGGGCCAGGAGAACGCCAAGGCCTCTGCCCCCGCCTTGCGAAGGGACTGTGGCCGAGACCCCAGAGCAGTTCCGTCTGGCAGGTGCCCCCACGACAAATGCCACTTTGAGGGGATTCAGCCTGCCCCTTGCCCTGACACTGGGAACTACCCGAACTCTCCTGTTGGCAGCTTTTGGCTGGTGTTATGCAGTGCAGAGCTAGAAATTTACCACAGCAACCAGCCATCTCTCACGGGTACTCACCCATGAGAGGGCCTTTAGATGCTCCTGGCCAGGAGAAGGCCGAGTCCTCTGCCCACGCCTTGCCGCAGGGACTGTGGCCGAGACCCCAGCAGGGTTCCGTCCAGGAAGGGCGACCCTGACTATTCCCACCTTGAGGGGGGTTAAGCCTGCCCCTTGTCCTGAGACTGGGACCCATCCGTCCTGTCCTGCTGGCAGCTTTTGGCTGGCCTGATTCATGACAGAGCTAGGAATTTACCCCAGCTCCCAGCCATCTCTCACGGGTACTCACCCATGAGAGGGGCTTTAGGTGCTCCTGGCCAGGAGAAGGCCGAGGCCTCTGCCCCCGCCTTGTGGCAGGGACTGTGGCTGAGACCCCAGCAGCGGTGTTTAGGCTGTCAGGGTTGTCCTCGACAGGTGCCACCTTGAGAATGGGTTATGCCTGCTCCTTGTCCTGAGACTGGGACAGAACCGAACGGTCCTGCTGGCAGCTTTTGGCTGGCAGGGGCAGGGCAGAGCTAGGAATTTACCCCAGCTCCCTTCCATCTCTCACGGGTGCTCACCCATTAGAGTGCCTTTAGGTGCTCCTGGCCAGGAGAAGGCCGAGCCATCAGCCCCTGCCTTGCAGCAGGGACTGTGTCCGAGACCCCAGCGGAGTTCTGTCCAGGTGATGCACCCCCGACAAGTGCCACCTTGATTGGGGGTTAATCCTGCACCTTGCCCTGACACTGGAACTGACCCGACGTGTCCTGCTGCCAGCTTTTGGCTGGAGGGGGGCATTGCTGAGCTAGGAATTGACCCCATCTCCCAGCCATCTCTCACGCGTACTCACCCATGAGAGGGGCTTTAGGTGCTCCTGGCCAAGAGAAGTCCGAGGCCTCTGCACCTGCTTTGCGCAGGGACTGTGGCCGAGACCCCAGCGGCGGACTTCCAAATGGCAGGGGCGACCCCACAAAGTGCAATCTTGATGGGGCTAAGCTTGCCCCTTGCCTGAGACTGGAACCTCAAGACCTGTCCTGCTGGCAGCTTTGCAGTGGCAGGCTGGAGCATCACAGAGCTAGGAATTTACCCCAGCTCCCAGGATTCTGTCACTGGTAGTCACACGTGAGAGGGCCTTTAGGTGCTCTTGGCCAGGAGAAGGCCGAGTCCTCTGCCCCCGCCTTGCGGCAGGGACTGTGGCTGAGACCCAAGCAGGTTTCTGTCCAGGTGGTGCGCCCCCGACAAGTGCCACCATGAGGGGGGGTTAAGCCTGCCCCTTGCCCTGACACTGGGACCCACCCGACCTGTCCTGCCGCCAGCTTTTGGCTGGAGGGGGGCATCGCAGAGCTAGGAATTGACCCCAGCTCCCAGGATTCTCTCATGGGTTCGCACACATGTGTTTGGCTTTAGGAGTTCCTGGGCCCGGAGAAGGCCAAGGCCTCTGCCCCCGCCTTACGGCATAGAGTGTGGCCAAGACCACAGCGGGTTTCCGTCCAGGAGTGTTGTCCCCGACAAGTGCCACCTTAAGGGGGTTTAGGCCTGCCCCTTGCCCTGAGACTTGACCCACCTGACCTGTCCTGCCACCAGCTTTTCGCTGGAGTGCGGCAGCACTGAGCTAGGAATTTACCCCAGCTCCCAGCCATCTCTCACGGGTACTCACCCATGAGAGGGCCTTTAGGTGTTCCTGGGCCAAGAGAAGGCCGAGGCCTCTGCCCCAGCCTTGCGGCAGGGACTGTGGCCGAGACCCCGGTGGGGTTCAGTCTGGCAAGGGCGCCCCCGACCGAGTCTGTTTTCTTTTCTCTTTTTTCTTTTTAAGATTTATTTTTATTATTTTTTCATTGGAAATGCGGATATTCAGTTTTGAGAGACAGAGAGGACGATTTTCCGTCCGATGATTCACTCCCCAAGTGAGCTCAACGACCTATACTATGCCGATCCGAACCCAGGAGCCTCTTCCTGGTCTCCCTTGCGGGTTCAGGGTTCCAAAGCTTTGGGCCGTCCCTGACTGCTTTCCCGGCCACAGGCAGGGAGCTGGATGGGAAGCGGGTTTGCTGGGGTAGAACCGGTGCCCATATGGGATCCCGAGTGTGCAAGGCGAGAACCTTAACCATTGCCCCTCTGCATGGGCCCCGAGTCTGTTTTCTGAAGACTGAGAATTTCAGAACAGATGCCCTGACAAACAGGCCCCTTATGTGCAGATTTGCATGTTGGTAGTTGATTTGGGAAGAGCCCTCAGAAAAGACACCTGCAATGGAACAGCTGCATTAAACCTGGGCAAAAATGTGCTTGTCACAGGAGTCTTGGCTACATGAGAGTCTGACGTGGCTCTTCAGAGATATCCTTCATATAGCCCTGGGACAAACCCTGTACTTTCCAGACAAACCAGTCCTTTTCTGAGGCTGTCTCAGAATGTAACTGAACATTTGAACAGCAGTGCTGGATGTTAGATAATGAAGCCATAGCTAAGAATTGTTCATCAACTTAAAGGGAAAAAAAATGAATTCTTCTGGATATATTAAAGTTTTTTTTAAAATCATTCTTATGTGCATCCTTAAGGAAATGTTTTAAGAAACTGTTTCAATATACAGAGTAGAAAGATATAAGATTTCAACCCAAAAACATATCAAAGAAAATTCAGAAGTGATGGACGAGCCACTGTGTACACTGACTGGGTTTTACATACCTGTGATTTTTCCAGCTCCCTCTTGCCCATCAGAAGGACCAATCAAAACTTAAATAAAATGTTCATTATCTGTACATATTTATTAAACTTAATAAACACTTCTTTTACTGGAAACATAAACATCATAAGGAAAAAACAGCCAAAAGTATACAAAAGAGGACATCCAAATGTTTGTTAATAATAAAATGTTAAAACTTATCAGTATTGAAGAAGTCTAAATTTTGAAAAAACAAGTTCCATCCAGAGTCTATCACTTTTAAACATGAAAAAGATTGTAACACTTAGCATCGTGCATTGGTGTGATATGGGCATTCTCAGGCAGTGATGATGAGATTACAATTTGTTTTATTAAACCTAGAGAACCATCATTAACACAAAGCAAAACTTTTGGGTGCTGGTTCATGTTCTGGTTGCTCTACTTTCAATCCATCTCCATGCTAACAGTCTGAGAAAGCTGAGGATGAAAGCCTTGGTACCCGGGCATATTTCACCCCTCTTGGAGAACCATAAGTATCCCCTGGCTGTGGCTTTGGCCTAATCCTGTGCCAGCCATTGCAGCTATATGGGAAGTGAACCAGCAAACGAAAGATTTCACTCTCCCCCTCTCTTTCTGACTCTGACTTTCAAAATAAACAAATATGTTTTAAGAAAGAAATCAGTAAATGAAATTTTATGTTGGTAATCTGTTGTAAGAAAGAATAATGTGGTAATATTTTAGTACTGCAGTTTCAAGTGCTAAGTGGGAATTTAAAAGTTAGATAGTAAGACAATAATGCAAAATTGTGATTCTATCTCACTTCCCACTTCCATACCAATCACAATTATTTCTTCCCAACCAAGCAATTGTTTATATTCAATGGCAGAAAATATTCTTATCTCGCACTGCTTATATTTTTCTATATTAAAGGATATCTATTCACCAAATTGAACTGAGAGAAGTCCCAATAAACTTGAACATTTGAAAGGAAAAATGACTCATAAAAGAAGTTAGGAAGAAAGGAGCAACTGAAATAAACAGTTGATAATTTAGGTATGAACTAATTTAATTCACTTGCAAAAGGCAATGTGAAAACCTGAATTTAAAACAAAAAAAATGTTGGGCCCAACACAATGGCCTGGTGGCCAGGATGCCATTTAGACGCCAGTTTATGTCCTAGTGGCTGCCCCACTTTTCATCCAGCTCCCTGCTTGTGGCCTTGGAAAGCAGTCGAGGCTGGCCCAAAGCCTTGGGACCCTGCATCCACATAGGAAAATCAGTAGAAGCTCCTGGCTCCTGGCTTCGTATTGGCTCAGCTCCAGCCATTGCGGCCACTTGGGGAATGAACCAGCGGACGGAAGATCTTTCCCTCTGCCTCTCCTTCTTTCTGTAAATCTTCCTTTCCAACTAAAAAAAAAATCTTTTTAAAACATGTTTTTTAAAGTTTTATTTTTTTGGTGGGGAAGAATTAAATATAAAAGATGTTGTGATTTGTTTGGAGGAAGCAACTTGACACACTTGCCCTGAGGTACACCATGGTGTGCAGACTGCAGAAGTCCATTCTGCTCATGCAAGGACACAGCCTGACTTTGCTATCCTTATGATTATCAACTCCATTTATTTATGAATTCAATTCATAAGCATTTATTGAGCAATGACTTCATTATACTGTTTTTGCTACTGATGCTTTTTCTACTCTTTATACAAAAGAGATGTCTAAAAGGGAAAAATTAATGTGTAATTAAATTACATATATGCTTTTTTCTATTGATTATAGTCACACACGTTCTTAAATGCTACTTAATATCTTGTAATGCACATATACCACACCATGATACATATGATGAAGAAAAATAAATCAGAGAAAGAATGTGTGGTCATAAAGAGACTAATTTAGTTGGGATGGTCTGATACAGAGAAATGTCATGAGAGTTGAATGACGAGAAGGCATAGCCTGAGATACCTGGAGGCCAGCGTGCTAATCTGAGGGGTAAGTGCAAACTGTCGGGGGGCAGAGCACATCACAGTTGGACTCACCATAGAGCAACCCTGCTAAGGTGCAAAAACATGAAAAGGGTAATCCAGAGGCAGATGTAATCACAGGCTGACCTCAGGCAGAGTCAAGGACATGAGGCCACTCAAGGCCTATCCAAAGCAAGCGACGGGATCCAATCAGGCTCCTTAAGGTCTTGGTTTTGCTAAATAGGAAACAGGGGTATGGGCTAAGCAGCAATGGATACAGTCCAGAAGTAATAGTACATTGCCTAAGAAAAGCCAGGTTTTCTTATAAATGAAATTTATCTCATGAAGGGAAAACTGTGACAACAACCCAGATTTCGGCTGTCGTCACCAGAAAGCAGAGCACTGAAAGAACCCCCATGGCCTAGTCACCTACATTTTCATGAAGGATGCTATTACCAGCAGCATTTCTTTTTTAAAAAGATTCGTTTTTGTTGTTGTTGCTATTATTATTATTATTATTATTATTATTAAGGCAGATATACAGAAAGAACAAGACACAGAGAGAATGATCTGCCTGTTTGTTCACTCCCCAAGTAGCTGCAACAACCGAAGCAGTGCCGATCTGAAGCCAGGACCCAAAGCTCTGGGCCATCCTTTACTGCTTTCCACAGGCAGGGAGCTAGATGGAAGTGATGTCACTGGAACATGAAGCAGCGCCCGTATGGAATCCCGGTGAATGCAAGGCAAGGGTCTAGCCACTAGGCCACCTCACCAAGACCACAGCAGCATTTCTAAACCAAGGCCCAGACACCCACTCATCACGTATGGAGAAGAAAATGTAGTAGATGCAATTGCTTCCTGGTGACCAACTGGCATTCTAACAATTCTTAAGAAGCTCCTTGATACAATTAAAAACTGAGGCTTTTGAAGAAGGGATTCAAGTCCTATAGTCCAGCTTATAGATAACTGCATAGGTAGATAGATAAATGTTTGGATGAATGATGGACGGATGAAAGAAAGATTCCAGAGAAGCAAAGGAAAGGTAATATGTTCACAAATTTACAAAAAGCAGAAAGGAAATGTGTATGTCACAAAATGTTAATATTGCGTGATTTCCACTTAACATTTTTTGCCGGTGAATGAGTATGTTAGAAAAACATACTCAGGGAAAGCAGGAGAAATCTTCATGATTCTTAGAGCACAAATGAGACAGCCAGAGAAGAGTGACTGTGAAGTGCCTCTTCATCCAAAGTTAAGGTGAAGAAAACCGAAATCTCAGCCAAAGAAACACTTAAATCTAGTACCACCCACTCCAGTCCTGAACAAATGGGTAAGGAACCGCTTGGATGTACCCAAAACCAAGAACTGTCTCCTGGCCTCTCATACTCAAAACCATTAAGCCTTCCCTACAGAACAGACTGAGCATCCTTATTCCAAATAGTCAGAAATTGGATGTATTCCAAAATCTGAAATATTTTGAGTAGTAACATAACCCCAAAAGGGGAATATTCTCCATCTGATTTCATGTGATCGTTCAGTCAAAACAAGGTCATACTAAATATGCTATGTAAAATTGTGCTGAGGACTCATTATCAGGCCCATGCAAAACATGAGCTCCATACTCAGATGTGAGTCTCAACCTCAAGACAGCCATTATGTTTAAGGCAACCATTAAAAAATCTGAAAAAAGCCAAATCCTAAACCCTACTATTCCCTGACTTTGCAGATAAAGAATACTCTGCATGTCCTCTGTGATCTCACTAAATACAAAATGCGACTTTCATTCACATTAAGAATGTGTCTGAGGGCTTCAAGTTGATTCAGTGAATCCTTCTCCACCAGTACAAATCCGCCGGTTAATGATTAGCTCTGCCTGTAGAAAGTCGAAAGTGCTTCTTTTTATCCGTTCTGCATTTACATACCTTTCCACGTCTATCAGAAGTCTCTTCTTGGTTCGTTCCTGGTAGTAGGACGAGTAACATTTTCAGCTTCTCATCTGTAGGAAGAAAATTTCCACAAGTTGAAGGGTTCATCTGATATTGAAATTGATGCCATCGTCTTGGTTATTTAAAACGATGCAAATCTTTCCACAATGTAACATGTAAATGTATTTTAAAAGAGCAAATACATAATATTCTAAGTAGTTGGTCAGATTTAACTGAAATTTGACCATTATTTTAGCATTGAGTTTGTAGTTTTAATAATGGATTCTAAATTTCTGTAGTCTGTTTTAAGTGCTTATCTTTGTCTGCCAAAGCAATAATCCAAAAAGACAAAAGTAATCTAAGTTTTGCTCAAATAACTATCTATATTCATTAACTGCTGAAAAAAAGTAACCTTTTCAAGATATTATTTCATGGTGAAGGGGAAGTATAAGTTAATTTGATGAATTAGTTAAAATACTCAATATTTATTTGAAGTATAATGGATGTTCCTCATCTTCCATACATTAACCCATGTTAAGTGTCCTCAACACTTACTAGTATGCTGTATTGATTAGTTTCCCAATAAATGATAACTTAGCAACACGAGAGACTGGGTGATGAGTGTGGAAGGGAACATAACAAAACTGTGAGCTTTTCTTTTTAGGAATGACTGATGAGGAACGATGACAAGCACTTGTGAGTCCACGAAACAGTACAGTTTTTAGAGTGCTATTTTTCTGTCAGTTTTACTAAACAAGATGGTAAAAATCAAAACCAATGAATCAAAGCCCTTAGTCCCATTTCAGCAACTCCTTAGTCTCCAAGGATATCAAGAGAATGTCAAAGTAATTGTTCAATATGAGCTATAATTACATTAAATGAGTAATGTAATAAAAGAGAGTGTCTGGTTTTAACAACAAATAATAATTAACAGGAGAGTCCAAATCAAATGCTGTTCTTAGCCATAAATCAGAAGACAGGAAGGAGGAAAGGGGAAGAGAGAGCAGAGGACCTTCTCTGGGGAAATACAAAAACAGCCCTACTGGTGAGGAAAAGAATTACGGTGATAGGAAACTATATTTTCACAGTTGCGAGTTAAAGTTTAAACAGTTCAAAACCATCTAAGACCATCTTTTTCTCTCCTTGTAGGAAAATACAACAAAACTAAATGTTCCTTCTTCATAAAATGCATTCTAACCTTGAGATTTCACGGTATTTTACAGAAGGCAATGAGTGTTGATGGAGTTAACATACACTATTTAGAGATTTTAGAATCTCAAAAACGATTGTTCCTCTGGGAACAGTACCTCCTAAATGAATGAACCAGCATTTAATTCAAAACAGAAAATTCCACAAAATTCCAGCAAACTTGCTCCTCTGGATACACTTGCCCGCATGTTGTTCCCACACACTCGGCAGGCCCTCGGTACCATGTGCGCGCCTGTTTCATTTCCTCCCTTGCACACGCTTGAGTCATAAACCCAGACATTCAAAGTTCGAAGTCTGATGCTTTTAGGAATAGCTTCTTTGTTTCCAGGCACAGCAGATGAGTGAAGGTGGGAATTCGAATTGTGAAACCAAAGTATAATACTGATTACTTCATATGCAAACTTCATATTTTCATCCCAAACAAAAAGTATGTAAGTCCTGTAGTGAATTGTGATCTAACAGCAGATGATCCGTCATAGAGAAATAAGGATATGTAAAAGGTCGCACATTGACAATGGGTGTAAGACCTATCGCTTGCTCTTTTCAGTGAGAGGTTACGAAACGAAGCAAAGAAAACATCAAGTTTTACATTTTTAAAAGACTGACTTATTTATTTTGCTTGACAGGCATAGTGATAGGAAAGAGGAATTGACAGAGAAAGAGAGAACTTTCTCCCTACTGGTTCATTGTGTAAATGATGGCAACAGTCTCGGTTGGATCAGGCTAAAAGCTGTGCTTATCTGATGCCCCTGGAAAGTCTAGAGTGGCTTTTCCCTCCTGTTGTATGTTGCAAAGACAGCTGAGGCTCTCTGTGCATCTCTGTCTGTGTCACCCAATGCTACTCTGGCCTTGCCCCAAACCTGGCTGTCTCAGGATAGTGGTGCTTTCTATACACAGAACAGCTTCCCCCCAAAACAAACTTCACAAGAGCAAGATGACCCAGCCTTTGAAATTCTGGAATAAATGCTTCCTCCACAAACTATTGGTCAACCAATCAATAACCAAAGGTCAGATTCAAGACTATCTATCTCAAAAATAATAATGAACCTATTTTATCTGCCATATAATAATCCCATATACTGTTGCTTTAAAATTAAAGAGTATTTTTAAAAGCTGTGGCATAATAAACCAAAACTTCCTCTCCTCCCTTTGAAGTACTATCTTAGCCTGCTGGTTCCATTAAAATGCAAAAGAGAGTTATTGATAAGTTTAGTTGTCAACAATTTGCTTAATTTATGAGAATTATAAACACCATGCACTGTAAGAATGAAGTGTATAAATCTAGTATAATTTAATACACTTAAAAAGGAGTTTTTCGTAAAGTGATCATGACCTCCCAACTGTCTACATTTTCCTTCATTCAAAATACAGTAGGCTTTTGTAGCAAAAAGGTCTCAAATTTCTATTATGAAAGATCTAAATGTGCTACAATAAAAGGTGTTCTATTTAACTGTATCTGTGAATTTTGCAATTTGGTGCTTATGAACTTTGCTAACATGTAAAAGCATGCACTGAGCTTTTTAGTCTGTGCCAGCAAATACCTTAAGCACTTAATACCTATTAACACATTCAAATTTCCAAATGGCCCTGGGAGGTTAATAGTAATATTATCCCCATTTAATAAATAGAACGTCTGAAGCAAAAACCCTGTAGACTCTCAGAAGGCCAACAAAATGTAGGGCTGAGATCCAAAGTCACACACCTGGCTTTGTCTAATGCTTCAACCACTTTGGTGTTCGGCATAAATGGGTTGAATATTCATAGAAGTAACAGCTGGAGCCACAATTACGTTGTCTAATGTATCTGTGATATTTTTCCTGTACACGAAACACTTGAGAAACAAATCCTTTATGTCATAAACTAAAACCCTATCAATCACAGACTGAAAATACAATTGGAGAAACAAATGAAATATGGAGTACATTCTGTACTATTTCTAAGTAGGACAATATTAAGACATGTATTAGAACCTAGTGTTGTCATCTGCAATTGGGCCAGTTGGCTTGGTAGGCTAATCATCATTACTTGTGTACAATTTTTTTCAAATAAATTGCTCTCCAACAAGCGTCATAAACAAGCGTTGAGGATTTTAAGAATCTACACCTTTTGCACTCTTTGTTGACATGCACATAAACAACATATGGAGGTCGCAAGTGTGAACTAAAAGTACGGGTAGACATTTAACACCTCTGTATCTACTACAGTTACCATGAGTAGTCCAAACATAAAGACAGCAAAGTAGTAAATGGATGATCTTTATGCAAAATTCAGCCAAATACAGTTTAGGCTAGACAAAGCAACTATCAGCATCAGGTTAGACCTTTAAGCAGGCACCAAAGCACATTGTCACATCTGAGAAGACACAAGAAAAGCAACAGCAGAGAATGAAAAACCTGAAAGATAATTTAGATGGATTAAAAAAACAAAAGCAGTTTAGATGGATAACTGGCCAGAGACAGAATTAGATGCCAAAGAAACCTATCACAGGTCACAGAGCCCAGGGAAAACGAGCAAGCCATTCTCAGGCAGGGTTTCTTTTGAGAACAGGAGGTCCTCCACCATCGTAATTCCTATCAACACAGCCCCTTTATGATAAAACAATCGGGGTTTTCCCAACCTCAAAACTTCTTGAAATCAATGGCTCTGGAACTATGCACTTCCAAGAATCCAGTGGGGCAGCTAAGAGAATCCAGCTGTACTGCCAGAAGTACAATTTTATCATTTAAAAAAAAAAACAAAACTTAATCTCAGACATCTTGAAATTAGTAATTTTGATTTCTAGCAAGTACATATCTTCAATAAAAAATACATAACCTGATACAAATATCTAAGAACTTTCCCTTCTAGGTCAAAGACCTTGTGGGTAAAAAATAACTCTCCAACATTTCCTTCTGAGGTGGCAATTCTCTTTTCTAACCGTTTTTCTTACCGTTTCACTAATTGGAACCTTTTGCAGTTCCAGAACTTTCCTATCCAAATCCTATTCTGTTTGTGGTTGAGGAGTGAACAGGAGTTTTTTTTTTTTTTTAAAGATTTATTTTTATTATTTTTTCATTGGAAAGGCGGATATACAGAGAGGAGAGACAGAGAGGAAGATGAACACAACGGCCGATACTATGCCGATCCGAAGCCAGGAGTCTCTTCTGGGTCTCCCACGTGGGTGCAGGGTCCCAAAGCCTTGGGCCGTCCTCGACTGCTTTCCCGGGCCACAGGTAGGGAGCTGGAAGGGAAGCGGGGCTGCCGGGATTAGAACCGGCGCCCATATGGGATCCCGGGCGTGCAAGGCGAGGACCTTTAACCACTTGCGCCACCACGCCGGGCCCTGAACAGGAGTTTAAAGTCACCTATCACAAATTCACTTTGCACTGCAATCTGTAAAACTAGAGTCTCCTTTAGGAACGTATGACAGCAGAATGCATCCTTTTCCCTTTCTGCCTTTTATTTTCTGAGTTTTAAAAAACATCCTTTTCCTTTTATATGCTCTCATATTAGCCACTAAGATAACTGAACTATTTTTTTTGCCCCTTTATTAAAGCCAATGGGGCATTGCAAATTATCATTATACTACTGAGTCAGTAAGAGCCATAGAGTTCTTAAAAAGTATTATTGAAAGAACTAATTTAAATGCACATCAACTACTTATCTCATTTGAATAATACAGTCATGTAATTTTTTCAACTGCATTAAAAATGCCCAGTTTAAATTACAGAATACAGTTCCTGATGTGGGTCCCTAATGTGGGTTTTCTGGCAGCAAGTATTGATTTAATATTTTTATAATGCTTCTAAATAAATCACAAAGAAAATGATTAATAAATTTTGAAACAAGGTTTTCATTACAGGTTCTGATTGAATTGCCTTTGAAATTATGATATTTCAAATACAGACATAATTTTCTATTTAATTATATAGGAGTAATGAGGAAGATTCAGTCTTTTTGCTTCAATATTCCAACAATTCCAAAATATGGGAAAGTAATAATAACTAACATTTTTAAGCGAATTTAAATGAGTGACTATATGCTGTAGACCAAAAACATCTCATCTAATCTTCCAAGGAACCTTGAAATAAAAGGTATTATTTGTACTTCTGTTTTATAATGATGAGATTATCAAAACTCCCTGTATTCATTCTTAACACAACTTTGAAAGCTCAGATAGCTTAAACACTATTCAGGATTATAACTAGTATTTTGTCAGAATAGCATACCAATTATTTTCAGGTTTACTAAAATGACATACTGTGTTGAGTTAAGAAATAAGCAACATTTTCACATCTGAAAGAATGTCTGACATTGGGGCACTAAACTTAGAACACAATACAAGCTTACCATAAATTCCCAATCAAACATTGAACCAGAATAGGCAGGAAATTTTCCAGGGTTCAGCTGATGAAATTTCCCAAAGCTTCTAGCTCTTCACAGATCCTTAACCATGGTCTTCTGCCAAGGGAACACAACTCAGGACCGAGCTCCCTCGCAGCTGAATCATGCTCTGTGATGACATCTGTAAGTTGTGGGAAAAGAATGGAATTGCTAAATATTGTTTCTGATGTTTTCTGTGATAATCACATTAGCTTGATTTAGTAAGTACTCCAGAGTCTGCTGACTGGCTTGCTGTAATTCAAAAGCTTTCTTAGAGTTAGCTCATTTCTGAACTCTTTGGGTCTGCTGTAATGACAAGTGAGGAGCTGACAAGAAGTAGCATCATATTTTTCCTAGAGTATCCCATCAGATGTGAGAAATATGGGGACATGGTGCCAGGCAGCAAGAAAGAGTCCTTTCTTTCTTTCTTTCTCTCATGGTATTTTAGGTACAGCATGCAAAAGATACTGGTGGCATACAGAAATCATGAGCTCTCATCCATAAAAGACATTGGTTTTCGTTTAGAACCATAATTTTATAGTTTACACATATGTAACCCAGGCTTAATAACATCTGTATCAATGAAAAATACAGAATACCAGACATGTTACTTATTATGTTTTCTAAATATCTCAAAACCAGAATAAAATAACCATCAAACAATGCTTCATGTACTAGGGAATGACTTCAACTCCGGAAATACAATAAAATCATGTTTTAATTTTAAAAATGAACAAGGTCCTGCCCTTGGCAATTATCTCAGAATCTTGGAGGGCAGGAACTGTGCTCAGGAAAGTGTCATTTCAGCACCACATTGTACATGGTTAGTGTGGCATTTTAGTTTTGTTACGCCACAGCCCTGCTCTGTTCTATCACTGATGCAAGAAAAACATTCAGAAATACCTCATTTTTCCTCTACAGGCATTCCTCTCTTTGTTAGCACATGCTTCAATAAGGGAAATCTACCTAATTTAATTTTTTGAATGATTGTTCAGTTGCAAGTAAAAGGAGCAGATAAGATCACCAGCTATTATTTTGGGAAGGATGGAGTTGGCCGAAAAAATGGCAGTAATGGAAACTGCCCCACGCGGCCTCTGGGACCTTTGAAGGGTTTCTCATTTCTCACTGACTCATGTTTCACCGTCTGTAAAAAAAGAGGCAACATTTGCCTCTGACCAGCCACAAGAATGATCTGAGTGAAAATGTAATTAAATATGTGAGCTCCTCGGAGTCCTTTTTGTAAGAAAAGTATGATGTAAAATTAAGATATCATGATAGTTACCATGGCTGTCACTACTGCTGTTACTTCATGGTCGCATTACAATATCCCTGTCACCTAGTAACGATCTTCTTGGACCAAAAGTGACAGGTGTAAAACGATTTTTTTTTTAATGTCATACTTGCTTTGTGTTGTAAAGTCTGTGAGAACCTCAGAGGACAAAAACGCAGCATTCCTGTGAGTCAGGTTTCTCTAACCCCAGATGTACTGCACACACTCATTATCTTAGCCCTCCCACCATTTAATTATCATACCTTTTCATCCAAATATAATGCAAAGCTTCAGCTGATCTGAGTAGTGTTATAAAACACTGGGGAAGCTGTCTTTAAAGCATTATGCTGTGCCAACATTCCTTGAATCTGACCTTGTTGGACAGCAGAACTATTTCTATTTCTAGAGGAGAAACTAATTTTAGATGTCCCTCTTGCTGACTTTCTAGTTTTTGAAATGAATAATGATAGATGTGTGTAGGGCCCAATGGCTTGCTGGGCAAAAATAGTGCATTTCAAATTTCCATGCCCCCCCCGGGAAAAAGCATCTTAGGCATTTTTTTCAGGAGAGAGAAATATTTCCACCACATCATTTTAGAAGACCTAAGTCTAGAAATATCCGGGAGTAGTTTCTTATTTCCTGAGGGCTGCAACTCAAGACTGAAGAAACAGTGATAAAGTCACCTCCTCATTCCAGCAAGATCACCTGTCCCATATATCCGTACGTGTTATGTGCATGTCTCCATAAACACACACACACATACACATCCATGTAATGCCAACTCGACAATGAGACAAATATTTCATGTTCTGCTCTTGTTTCCTTGATAGAAATTCTCCATTTTAGTAATTTTTTTTTAAATTTCAAATAAATTTTTTGAGTCACATCTTGCTAAATACCAGTTAAAAGACCAGAATGCTTTTTACAGAGTTATGGACTATGTAGAACCCGAGAGACTGCTCCTTTAAGAGCTCCCTGAGGGTCAGGTGTGGTAGCCTACTGGCTAAAGCCCTCACCTTATAACCACCAGGATCCCATATGGGCACTGGTTTTTGTCCCAGCCATTCCATTTCCCATTTAGCTCCCTACTTGTGGCCTGGGAAATCAGCAGAGGACAGCCCAAAGTCTTGAGACCCTGCTTCTGCTTGGGAGACCTGGAAGAGGCTCCTGGCTCCTGATCAGCTTAGCCCTGATCGTTGGAGCAACTTGGGGAGTGAAGCAGTGGACAGCAAACATATGTTGTTTACCTTCAGGAAAGGTGCTGCCCTCCCAGGTAAGGATGTGTGCAGACAATGAGGACCTCTCATGACTCTGTAAGCAGTTCCGGTGTGATATGCCTGATGTGCTCTTCTCAAAGACACTGCTGACGGCATAACCGCAGTGCGGTGTGGTGATCTTGTTGATCTTTTGGGGCAGTTTCACTAGGATCTTTCGACACTTAGCGGATCCCCCTCACTGTCTTGTTCTCTTTCTTTTCTCAGGCTCTGTGATACAGCACCAGGCATGCAGCTTGACATTCCAAAAGACCTTATGTTTTAGCTTACACTTGACAAAGCTTAGGCACCGTACAGGGGCAGACACACAAGTTTTCCCTTTTCATAACCCAGTAGTCTTGCAAAACACAGATAGGCCAAGAATAGGGCCTACATACAACAGTAACCGATTTTGTTCAAAAGTTGTTATAGAATTTAATTGCATACAAATGAGATTTTTTAAAATCATTATGATTATATTAATAATAAAAATATTAGTTATAAATGGTAGTCCATTGGCCAGAATGATTTCAGCATATGTACATGCCCACACGCACAAACACATACTCATAAACACTTATCAAGAAGTGTTTCCTGGTTACAATGAAACCTGAAACCTGGAGTGGGTTTGTGGCACAGCAGGCTAAACAACCACTTGGGACACACATACCCCATATCTGACAGCTAGTTTGAGTCCCAGCTCCTTTGTCCCCAATCTAGCTTCCTGCCCATGTGCCTGCAGGGCGATGTGTGGTGACTCAGCACTCAGACATCAGGCCTCCACAGGGAAACTGACAGAGCTGCAGACTCAGGCATTTATGAAGTGAAAAGCAGACAGAAGACTCTCCTTCCAGTCACTGGTTCATTCCCCACATGGCCACAACAACCAGAGCTGAGCCGTCCCAAATCCAGGAGCCAGGAGCTACTTTCCAGGTCTCCCACATGCATTCACAGGCCCAAAGACGTGGACCATTCTCTGCTGCTTTCCCAGGTTATAAACAGGGAGAGGAATCAGAGGTGTAGTAGCCCAGCCACGAAGTGTGACCATATGAGATGCTGGCACTCCAGGTGAAGGATGCGTCTGCTTTGCTACTTACCAGCCCCACAAAACCTGTATGCCTAGTTTAATTTTCAATGCTCAATAATGGCTCTGAAGAAATCTAAATAAACTAAATCACACACATCAAGAAACAGAGAAAAGAAAGGTTTGAAATAAATATAATTTCTTGGTGAGGTTTACAAGGCTCCAGAATATAAAATCAAGCAAAGACTGTAACTGATTTCATTGATTAGTTTCGCTAACACAGAGAGAATAAAAAGTGTATTTTAAAATTTAGTTTGCTAGTCTTGAAAAGTTATTTTATCAATTTAGAGCAAAAACACAGGTGGCATTATTTAAAGTAGTTGTTTTCCATTTTTTGCAACTGAAGGAATGTAAAAAGTGTCTCAGAATTTTAAGAGTCTAAAATTATATAAAAATAGATACAGACATTTATACCTAAACAGCCTGTTAGCTATTAGTCCACCTTTACTTTTCACCCCAGTAAACAAATCTGTGGCCTGACTTGCTTCGCACAGAGCAGAAGGGACGAAGGCAGGCACTTGGTAGCTAGCGCAGTTGCTGCTTGGCACACCACTCCCATAGCGATGTGCCTGGTAGGAGTCCTGCCTGCTCCACTTGCATCCCAGTTTCCTACTAATAATCACCTTGGAAGGCAGCAGGTAATGGTTCAATTATTTGTATCTTATCACCACACAAAAAGCTTAAACTGAGCCCCTGGCCCCTGACTCCTGCCTTCTGGCTACTGGCCCCTGGCTCCTGGCCCCTGGTCCTTGGCCCCTGGCTCCTTGTTCCTGGCCCCTGACTCCTGCCTTCTGGCTCCTGGCCCCTGGCCCCTGGCCCTTGGCCCCTGACTCCTGGCCCCTGGCCCCTGACTCCTTGCTCCTGGCCCCGGGCCCCCGGCATCTGCCCCATTCTTGACTACTATGTGTATCTGCGGAAACAAACCAGTGAATGGAAGATCCCTCTCCCTTTCTTTTCTCTTCCTAATAAATCTTTTTTAAAGATTTACATTATTTAGTTCAAAGGAAGAATGAAAGGGAGGGGATGGAGAGAGGGGGACAGAAGGAATGGGCTATGTGCCGATTCACTGTCCAGATGCCAGCAGCCTGGAACTCCATCTGGGTCTCCCACACAGGTGGCAGGAATGCAAGCACTTGGGCCATCTTCTGTGGCCTTCCCAGGCACATCTGCAGGGAGCTGGATCAGAAGTGCAGCACCTGGTGTCAGAGTGAGATGCTGGCATTGCAGGCAGCTATCAGCCAGCTGTTGATTCATCCCTTAAGTGGCTGCAACGGCTGGAGCTGAGCCAATCTGAACCCAGGAGCCAGGAGCTTCTTTCACATCTCCCACACAGGTGCAGGGTCCCACGTCACTGGGATGTCCTCTACTGCTTTCCCAGGCCACAAGCAGGGATCTGGGTGGGAGGTACAGCAGCTGGAACATGAGCCTGCACCCTTATGAGATTTCAGCAGTTGCAAGGCAAGAATGTAGCCACTGAACCATCACCACAAGCCATGACACATTTTTGTTGTTGTTTTAAAGCAGAAGACATGGGCAGCCA